AAGATTAGAGTTGAAGAAGAAGAGTACTATTGTCTGTTGTATTCAAATTAAATCATGATCATCGTCTAAAGTTTCAACTTTAGGGGTCTAATCCCGACAAGAGATTTAATCATTTAAAGGTCTATTTATTTCATGAAAAATAACTTATTAAAAAACATATTTTTTTAATTTTCTTATATTTAAAACCTCTTTAAAAGATAACTCAATAAAAAAAAATCTTCAGTCAATAGAAAACCTAAAACTAATTTTCTAGAAATCAACTTCCAGATTTGAAATCTGAAAGTCAATTTCCGCAAGAACACGCAACGAAGTTTTATGTTTTTGACGTTCGAGAAATTTCGTTAAATTAAGTCCTCTAATTTTTATGCACATTGCAAATAAGTCCTAGTACTTTTCTCCGTGTTTATTAGTGGTCCTTATGATAGAAGAAGTCATTAAATTTTTTTATTCCTAATCAACATCCACGTAGCAGCATCTAACCCTGAAATTTTCCGTATTCAACATTTGGGAAAATTCTGTATTTTTGGAATAAACTCTCAATTTTCTGTAGAAATGATTAAAAAGTTTTTCATTGCTTACTAAACAATACAAAAATTAAAAAGTTTTCTATAAAAAATTTGTCTTTAATTAAAATTTTATTTTAATAGTGATAGATAATTTAAAAAATTACAATGGTGTTTATGATTTTTTAATGTTTTTAGTTTAAATTTTTATTAATTAATTAATTAATTAATATTTTGAAAAGTTAAAATATTTCATAACTTATAAGTAATGGAATATATTTTCTTTAAAAAGTTTTTAAAATTATTCTAAATATCAAAAAAATCAATTTTTTAAAAAAATATTTTTAAAAATAAAGTTATTTTCTACAAACCAAACGGACTTTAAGTTCTTAACCGTAATACCCAGGCGAAGACAAGGAGGACGTTATGGTAATGGAACTGAATGAAAAAGTATTAAATTTTTTTTGTGAAGAATTAAAAATTTGGAGAGGATGACATATGGAAGAAAAAGAAATCGGAAAGGTAACGGCCAAAACAGACGTTATTCAGTCCAGCTGGCGGGCAGTGAGGGATGGTAGTCAATCTGTTAAAGTTCGGTTTTGCCCTTCCTTCATCTCAAAGGTCGGCTTTTTGGATGACGACTGTGTCCTTGCTTGCCTCGCTGTGATTGGTGGGCGTAACGTGATAGAATCATTAGGATTTAGCAGATCTATGCGAATTGACGGAAACTTAAGCAGTATGAGCAACTGAAAATCAAAGTTCCTCAAAAAAAAAAAAAAAATCAAAAGGTATTAGGCCGGTTTACTATAGCAGTTTTGGAATAGCGTGGGTAGTTTTATCCAAAATATTAAAAATAGGAATTTAATAAATTTATATATTTTAAAATTATTACAAATAATAAAAATTTTTATTTACCTATTTGAGGTTAAT